TCTGCTCTGGGGGGCCCTCCTGGATGGGGTACCCCCGGAAGGCTGGGGGCCCCCGAGGGGGGCCCCCGCGAAGGGCTTCGAAGGACCCGCAGCCAGGCGCAGCTGTCCCCTCAAGACAGCAGCAGCATAACCTATTTCAGACAGAGGCTGCAGCAGGAGCAGCAGCGGCTGCTGCTGCAGCAACAGCATATGCAGCAGCAGCAGCAGATGATGCGCAGCAGGCTCCGAGCCAGCAGTGTACAACACAGGATCCAGCAGCAGCAGCAGCAGCAGTACATAAAGCAGCATTGGCAGCAGCTGGCACCTGCTGCGCATCTCGAGGAAAGGGGGGCCCCTAAGTGGTACCCTGATCGAATTCCGTGGGGGCCCCCCTCTTCTTTATGGAGGGCCCCCCAGCTGCAGGGGCAGCTCCAGCTATCGGGGCCCCTTACTGCTTGCTGCAAGGAGACTCTTGGGTGGGCCCCTCCTGCATCGTTGGCCTCCACCACAGCATTCAGCTGCAGCAACAGCAGCAGCAACGCATGCAGCAACAGCAGCAGCAGCAGCAGCAGCGCGTGCTGCAGCATTGCGGTTGCTGTCCCGGGAGAGGTTAGCAGGGGCCTCGAGCGTCAGCGGAGTCTCCTTTACAAGCGGCTGGAACAGCGCTCCAGCAGCTTCGTGGTTGCTGCTGCTGCTGCTGCACTGCGGCAGCAGCAGCAGCAACAGCAGCAACAGCAGCAGCAACAGCAACAGCAGCAGCAGCAGCAGCAGCGGCAACAGCAGCAGCAGCAACAGCTACAACAGCTGAACCAGCAGCAACAGCAGCAACAGCAACGAGAGCAGCAAGAACAGCTGCTGCAGCAGGACAGCTCCAGCAGTGCTGCGGAAAGCGGGGCCACTCTAAGGCCCAAAGAAGAGGAAACAGAAGCAGCGAAAGGGACTAGTGAAACAGAGGACCCAAAATGCCATTTTCCCCTTCGGATGCAGAAGCAAAAAGTAGGTAGGGGGCCCCCTAGGCAGCGAGGGAGTCGGAGAAGCCCTCCCCCTCCTTTGCAAGAGTCTCTGATTATCACAAACGCGTTTGAGACACTTCAGCAGCAGCTGCAACAGCAGCAGCAGCAACAACAGCTGCAGCAACAACGCCTGCAGCAGCAGCAGCTAAAGCTGCAGGGCGGCCATCAGCCCACAGCCGGAGCTCAGGGGGGTCGCTTCGAGGGAACTCGCATGAGTGTTTTATCTAGAGTGCGACCTTTCTCAGCTGACGGGCCGCGATGTTCTCCTGCTGCTGCTGCTGCTGCTGCTGATGCTGCTGCTGCAGCTGCGGCTAGGGCTCAGCGGCTCCAAAGGGAGCGCCTCTGGGCCACCGCTGCTGCTCTGCAGCCCCACAACAGCAGCACCACGCCAGAACCAGAAACAGCAGCAGCAGCAGCAGCAGCTACCGAAGCGGCAGCAGCGCCGACCAGACTACGGGAAGCAGCAGACACAGAAGCCCTGGGACAGGCAGCTACCTTTGTACAGCCGACTTCTCCCGAAAGCAGGTGCTTCACAATTGCTTTAAATTAGACTCAATTAAATTCTTTTAAGGCCCTCAAATGGTACTTTTGTAAACCCTTCAGTCACTGGCTGCCTCTTTGTAGGGTTTAAAACCCCACAAAAATGCCCCTGGCTTTGCAGCAGCAAAAGCAGAGAAGTAGGGCACAGCTAGTTGAGGTGTACAAACAGTTGTAGAAAAAAGAAAACAAAAACGAACAAATCTGTAAAAGTGAAATAAACACAAACGCAGCAACAGCGCAGACACACACCAGAGGGACTAGCAGCCAGAGATGAACGAATTTCTGAAAGAGCAAAAAAAGAGAAAAAGTTACACAAGACATACACAATTCAAAATGAAATTTTAAAAGAAAAAAGGAAGAGAGACGCAAAAGAGAATTAATATCACAGCACTTAGTATCAACACTCCACGGAAGCGAGGCCTTTCTTAGGCTTCTTGAAGCGAAGAAGCACTCACAAGTGGATTACAAATCAACTTTGCTGCTGCTGCTGCTGCTGCTTTCATTTGTAAAGACAGCAGGGGCTCAACATTATTTGCTGCTGCTGCTGTCGCTGGTGCTGCTGCTGCTGTTACTGCTGCTGTACAGAGACACCAGCCCAGTTGTGAGCTCAGAGAAGAGGTGGCTCGCAGCAGCAGGAAAGGCTGAGGCGGCTCACGCTGCAAGTGCTGCTGCGGCAGCTTCTGGTGTTCTGCAGCAGCAGGGAGAACAGGAGCAGCACCAGAAGCAGATGGGGATTTCCCCAGCCTGGGAGTCGGCGCAGCAGCAGCCTAGTGAAGTTGGCAAAATAGGATGGGACAGCACTTCAGTTGGCAGCTGCAGCACGGGAGATTCGCCAGCAGCTTTATCTGTAGCAACAGCAGCGGAAGCTGCTGCTGCTGCCAAGCAAGAAGCTGCAGCTGTTCTCACGACGGTGCATGCAGCAGGTGCTGCTGCTGTCGCAGCCACTGATACAGCAGCTGCAACAGCAGCAGCAGCAGCAGAAGCAGAAGAAGCAGCCGCAGCAGCAGAGCTGTTGTCCTTGAACTATTTGGCTTATCCTCTTTATGCTTCATCTCCCTTAAGTGCAGAAGAAGAGATTTTGGCAAATTGTAAGGGGGCATAAGTTTAGAAGCAAATACAGTTGAGCCTTCGCTTTTTTTGTCAATTAGATAATTATTTTTACCCTTTTTATTGTTTTCTTCTCATCTACCTTTGTTTCTAAGTGCAGCGATTATGTTTTCTTTCGTGTATCCCTGTTAAATTCATTTTGTGGTGTTTCATTCGGTCTTCGCTCCTGTGTTCCTTCGTTTCTTTCTGTGTTTTTTGTTTTCCCCAAGTCCTTCTGTCTTCTGTCTTTTTCTCGGTTTATCGTTGCCTCTTTCTTTGTTTATTTAAGACGTTTTCTTCTTCTTTCCTCCCCTTTATTTCGTCTTGCCTGTCTTCGTTGGTCTTTTTTATCTTGCTTACTCTTACTGCCTTAATTGGTGCTGCTGCTGCTGCTGCCGCTGCTGCTGTAGCTTGCCCTTTCTATCTCTCTCTGTCCTTACGAAGGACAGAGCCCCTGTTTCTTTTGGTCATTTGACGAATACAAAAGTCTGGAGTTCCTGTTTCTTCCTGTTTTGACCTGACCCTCCTTGGCTCATGCAATTTCTTTGATTAAAATTTCCTTTTAACGGTCATCAACACTAGCGAAGGTTGGAGCAGTAAGAGCTGCGAAAAATTCTACCACAGCTTTGTGCTCGTGTAGTGCTGCTGCTGCTGCTGCTGCTGCTGCTGCTCGGTTTGCTGTCGCTTTTGCTGCTGCTGGTGTTGCAGCTAGTGTTTCTGTTTTTCGCTGCTGCTCACATTGCTGCTCGTTGCTGTTGCCGCTGCTGCTGCGCGCAATTACTCCATAAGGTTTTTTTCTGTGTTCTGCATGCAGCAATGGAGAGAACAGAAGCAGCTGCAGCAGCTCTAGGGAAGATTGCTCTGCAAGGTGGACCTCAAGAAACCGAACAAGACATAGAATTCACAAGATATGGAGCTCTTATTAACTCTCCAGGCTGTCTACGGAGGCTCTCGAGGGAAAGTCCTCGTGCCGCTGCAGCAAGAGAAGTATCTCCTGCAGGCAGCGAGTTCACTTTTGCTGCTGCGTCACCCCCGCCTCCCGCAGCACCAGCAGCAGCTGCTGCAGTGCGAGCAGCAGATGCCGAAGGCATAAGGCACGCCGAAGGGAGCAGCAGCAGCAGCAATAATAGCAGCAGGGACGAAGACGAAGATAGAAGTAAGCCCTATAGTTGCTGCTGGTGGTTCCCAGCAGACAGCAGTAGCAGCAGCAGCAGCAGCAGCCCTGGAGACGGGGAGACACGCCACTGCCAGCTGCAGACAGTAACAGAGACTGAAGAAGCGGCAGCGCCGCTTTTGCTCCCCAGAAGATTAGTCGTAACTCCTGAGGGCCCCAAACGCCTGGTGTCCTGGAATCTCTTGCCCCTGCCAGCCGAGGAGCAGCAGCAGCAGGAGCAGGAGCAGCAGGAGCAGCAGCAGCAGCGTCGCCACAAACAGCAGCAAGCGCAGAAGCAGAAGCAGCCACCAGCTTCGGGACCCTCGGAAATTTCGGTTTGTTTGAGGCCGCAAAAGTGTAGAGGGGGCCCCCCAGGTCCCCAGCCAAGGCAACGTTTGAAAGCTGTTGTCCTGGGGGCCCCTTTGAAGAAACCCCCACCTCCCTCCGGCTTTTTTTTACCCCTACTGCAGCACCTTTTAGCGTCTTAAAGCCCTCGTTTGGGCCTTCAGAGCTGCTGCTGCTGCGGCCCTTGTTGCTTCCCCTTTCTTGAGGACTTCTGCCACTGAGACACCAACGACTGCCGCAGCAAGCAAGCAAGGCAGAGCTGCAGCAGCAGCAAACTTGAATTCTGAATTTCCATAGATCAGCAGGTGGCAATAAGTTCTGAACTACTGGCATTAAAAGCACAAAGGAGCAGCAACCTCTAAGAGGGCCCCTAAATGGCACTTCAGAAAACCCTAGAGAGGCCTCAAAGGTTCAAGAGGGCATAAAGATGATTCTTTTGCTTTTTGCCAAAACGATTCCTCAGAATTCGAAATGTGTGTCGAAAAGCGACGTAAATTACAAGCAGAGTACGCATTTAGGGCTGTGTAGGTCGCTAGAGTAACCTGAGTGCACGGCAGGAACAGCAAATCAGAAAAGAGGCCCCGTGAATGACTTTAGAAGGCTCCTAATTTGGGAGCCTCCATTACTATATGGGCCCTGAGCAGAAGAAACTGCGTTAAAGGGGGGCTGCGGATTCTCCCAAACAAGATTTTTGTGTCTACCCCGCTAGCTGCAACAAACGGGCCTCACTGTTCACAAAGGGAACAAAACAGAATATTCTATCAGCCCGAACCGTTTCCCGGGCCTCCAAGAGACTTTTGAAACACCGTGGGGCCCCTCGAGGCCCCGGGGCCCCTAGATTTCCAAAGGTTTCCTTAAGATGTCTCAAGCTTTCCTCTCTTGGGCTAGAACCACCCTGAGAACCAGCCGCCTCCTCCGGTTTGTTCTTCTGGGGGAGTTGAGGCCCCGCTGCGGGGAGTGTCTGGCTCCTTCGATGCATCTGCTGCTGCTGCTTCTGCTGCTGCTGCTGCTTCAGACTTCTTGCCCTTGTCGTCTTCGGAAGAAGGAAAGGCTCCGCTGCGGCGCGGCGGCGGGCGCGAACTTTTCGAAAGGGCCCTTTTGAGGGTCCCCGTGGAGTCTTCCTTCGAAGCCTTTTCTTTTCTCTTGTCTTTGTTGTCCCCCTTAGGGGTTTCTTGGGGGCTTTCCTTTGAATCCACTTGGGAATCTTTCTTGGAACTTTCCTTGGGAGTCTTGTCTTGAGAAGATCCCTTGACACTCCAGGAAAAGGTGCCTGAGGCCGCCTGCAGCAAACCAGCGTTCCATCCTTCTGATTTGTTTGTTTTGTATATTGAAGTCCACACGCGGTCTATGGTGGGAGACCTGAACAAAAATAGACAGAATTGAGGGAAATGGAAAGCTCGAGGGAAATAAATGCAAACATTACAAATTCCTCAGGTGTGCATGCAACACGCATGCATGCGCGGATGCACGCACAGGTGCACATACGCAAATATGAGCTCACATACTATTACACTTATTATGAGAATTTAATGCACACACAAAGCCTGCATAGACCTGTTGCGCACATATCCTGCGCATGCATCTTTTTTGTGCAAATATGACAGGTAAATGCAACAAATATGTCCATCTGTAAGCACGCCACATCTATATAATACAAAGCAGACACGCACGTCGGTATAGTATGGCCGAATCTCTATTTTACTTTATTTATATTCTGTGAATACCCCAATCACATGCACATATGTACTGACGCTGCATGCACATACGTGCCATACATATGTACAAAATGTATATATACATCGACAAGCAAGAAAGAAGGAGCCCATTGAAAATACGGATGAAAAGAAACCAAGAATGTGATGAGTAGAGAAAAAATAAAAGGCCAACAATAGCGACATAGAGACGGACACTCAGGCGCGAAAAATTCGCAGGAGCAGCAGCAGCAGCAGCAACAGTGTTGGCACCAGCAACAGCGCCTGTTTGCTGTTACCTGACATTAGGGTCCCTGATGAACTTTTCAAGATCATCTAGAAGAGTATTGTATTTCTGCACAAGTTTGTTGTATCTCTCCACCACCTCCATATGCCTATCCCTTGCTTGTCTGAATCTTTCGTTCTTTTTTTCTATTATTTGGCTAAGACCCTTTATGTCCTCTGCTGCCATTGCTGCTGCTACTGCTGCTGCTTCCTCCGCATCCTGTTGGTTGTCTGAGGACTCCCCCTCTTTCTTTTGCTGTTGTTGCTGCTTCCCTGCAGCTGCTGTTGCTGCTGCTGCTGCTGCGCTTGCTGCGGCTGTGGCAGCAGCTTCCTTGGCCTCCTGCAGTTGCTGCTGCTGTTGCTTGAGCTGCTGCTGCACCTCAGCTAGCTTTTTTTGCAGGTTCTCCTTCTCTGCTGTCTGCTGCTTCAGCTGCTGCTGCAGCTCAGCCTTCGCGGCAGCTTCTGTCTTCAAAATTTCACTGGAAGATGTTGCCTTGGTAGTTGCTTGTGAGGCTTGCTCCTGCAGCTGCTGCTGTTGCTGCTGCAGCTGCTGCACCTGCTGTTGCAATTCCTTGCGCTCCTTCTCACGCTTTTCCGCGTCCTTATTTGCAGCATCTTTATGCTTCTTTAGTTCCTCCTTCGCGTTTGTAGCCTGCTCCTGCTGCTGCTGAAGCTCTTGCTGGAGCTGCTGTTTCTGCTGCTGCAGTTGCTCCTGCTGCTCTTCCACTTCCTTCAGCTTCTTGTCGGCCGCATCTCTCTCCCCCTGTAATTGCGTGAGGCGTTTCTTCAAAGAAGAGACCGTATCCTTGAGCTGCTGTACTTCTGTTCCCATGGCTTTGGCTTCTTCTGCTGCTGCTTTCTGCTGCTGCTGCGCTTCCTCTGCTGCTGCTGCTGCTGCGTTGCTCTCTGCTGCCTTTTCGTGCTGCAGCGCTGTCAAGGCTGCCTCGGCAGTTTTGGTCTTCTGCTTTTCACTGGCCAGCTGTTGCTCTACCTTGTCAATTTGTTGCTGTGCCTCCAGCTGCTGTTTGTGCAGCTGCTGCTGCAGCTGTTGCTGTTGTTGCATTGCCTCGCGTTGCTGCTGCTGCAGCTCCTGCTGCTTCTGAAGCTCTTGTTGGCGCATCTCTTGCTGTTTCTGCAGCTCTTGCTGCTGCAATTGCTGCTGCAGCTGGGCTGCTTTGGCCTGTGCTTGCCGATGCTGCTCCTGCTCCTGTTCCAGCAGCTGCTGCAGCTGACGCGCATGCTGCTGCTGCTCGAGGAGCTCGTGAGTAGCATTTTTAAGCTTTTCCTGTGCCAATCTCAGTGTGTCTTCTACCTTGCTGCGGTCATCTAAGTGCTGCTTCAAGTTTTGGCTCTCCCTCTCTAGTTGCTGCTGCTGTTGTTGCCTTGCTTCCTCTCTCAGTTTCTGTTCACGTGTCTCTCCATCTGTTATGCGCTGCTGCAGTATCTGCGCGTGCTGTTGCAGCTGCTGAAGCTCAGCCTTTGCTGTTGCTGCTTCGCGCTGCAGCAAGTCGCGCTGCTGTATCGCCTCTCCCTTTTCAGTAAGGATTTGTTGCAGCAAATCGTAATCTCTTTTTCTGGCATGCCTTTCAGCAACTAGTTGAGCTTCAGCCTCTGCATTGGCAGCGCGAAGTGCATCCTCAGTGCGCTTCAGTTGCAGTAGCCGCTCCTGCTGCTGCTGCCGCAGCTCTTTGTCCTTTGCTGCTGCTTCCTCCAGGGCCTCCCGCTGCGCTGTCTGCTGCTGCACCTGCCCCTGCAGGCCGCTGACTTGCAGCAGAAGCTCGTCGATTTGCGTCTCTTTCCTTATGAGTGTTGCTGCTGCATCTGCTGTTTCCTGCTGGAGCGCCTCTAGCTTCTGCTGCAGCTGCGCACACGTCTGCTGATGCCTAGTCTCTGCTGCTGCTGCTGCTGCTTCAGCCCTATTTTTGGCGCGTTCTGCTTCTCTGCGCGTCTCCTCCTCCCTCCGCACAGCCGCAGCTAGCTGTGTCTCCGCCGTGGCTAGCTGGCTAGCTGTAGTGTCTAGCTTTTCCTTTATCCTGTCCGTCTCTGCATCCAGCTTGATGATGTACTGCGCCTGCCTCTGTCTCTCAGCCTCTGCCACTGCTAAGTCTCTTTCTGTCTGCTGCTGCTGCTTCTCCAGGGCCTCCAGCTGCTTCACACAAATTGACTCATTTGCGCGCAGGCGGTCCAGCTCGGCGTTAACTCCATCACGAGAATCTTCCACCTAAAGAAACAAAACCCTGAGACCTAAACTTCGAATTTTCAACAACACATTCAAGCTCTGGGCACTAAAACAAAACAGTTTCAAGCCTTAGGCACTAAATTTGAAACAATTTCAAGTTTCAACCACCACAATGAAAACAATTACAAGCGTAAGACACTCAAACGTGCAGGGGAAGATGGAAGCAGAGCCAATGCTTTCAAATACCGAGTTTGTGGCTTAGGAATGGCTGCAAGGCACATATCTGCAATATATTAAAAGTAAGGATTCAGAATAATCAACTAAGGCTGCTAGACACATCTCTGTAATATATTAAAGATGCGGACTCAAAATGAACAACTTGAACTGCTAGGCACATATGTGCAATATTTTAAAGCTAAGAACTCAGGATATACAAATGGGAACGCCAGGCACATACCTGCAATATCTTAAAGCCAAGGACTCACGATAAAAACCTAGGACTGAGAGGCTAATACTTGCAATAGGTTAAAGCTCAGGAATCAAAGCAAACACCAAGTAGCTCACCGCCTGGAGGCGAGAGGTGGCCTCTGCTGCAAGGGTCTGAGCCTCCTGGGCAGTTCGATGCGCAGCGCCTCTGTCAATTTCCAGGTGCCTCTGCAGCAGCAGCAGCGAGAGCAGCAGCAACAGCAGCAAATGGAGCAGAAGCAGCAGCAGCTGCTGCTATGGGAAAACTTGGTGAAAGAAACACACCTAGCATCAGAGATACTACTGCCCGAAACTCCTGATCCTAAACATTCAATTCCGTGTAAACTGGGGAGTCAAAGAACATCCAGATTGCTAGAATGCAACGAAGGGTTTGGGGCTTAAGACTAAATCTTTAGGGTTTGTTACACAGAGAGTCGAGAGCTCCTCTACTTGGCGCGTCAGCTGCTCTACTCGCAGCTGCTGCTGGGCGCACTGCCCCTCCAGCTCCAGCAGCTGGTGCTGTCTGCGGTCCGCCTGCAGCAGCAGCAGCAGCAGGAAAAACAGGAATGGACAGCACCAGATGCAGCGCCAGTTAGCAGCAATAAGAGCAACACCACCATAGCCACCACCACCAAACTCCAGGCTACCTCAGAAAACCCCTGAACAGCCCCCAAAGCAGCAGCAAGGTTTACCGGGGCCCCCCAACAAGGCCTGTCAATAATGAAGGACCTGTTAGGAGGCCCTGGGGGCCCCTAGGGCCCCTGAGTCCTCTAGGGGCCCCCAGGACAGTGTGGGGGGCCCCTAGGGGCCCCCACAGTGTCCTCTGAGACACCATGTGGGCCTACTCGGACTCCTAAGATCCCCTAAGGGGCCCCCGGAAAGGCCGCAATAGACCTCTTGGGTCTTAGAGCCTTTGAAGGACCCCACGCAATATCAAAAGCACCTCTTTTGGTCATCCTTGGGGGCCCCAAAGGAGCAACTTAAAAGCCCCTCCAAAAAGGCTAAGCCGCCTTCATACAAGGCCATCAAGTGGCATCAATGAGATTTTCAGAAGCCTCTGAGGGGCCCTTGGGTGGCCTCAAAGCGAACCGCCCAGGGCCCCGTGGGGGCCCCTAAAGGGAAGTGTGGCTTAGGGGCTTACAAGGTGCTGCAGTCCACATTCTTGCCTCAGCTTCGCTGCTATTTCTTCCTCGAGCTTCATGCTGAAGTAACAGATAAAGGGGGCCCCGGAAATGAGATGTAAAGGCACTTCTTTGTCGCAGCTATTGGGGAAAAGCAGCAGCAGCAGCAGCAGCAAAAGCGGAAAATTAATTACAAGTCACTAGTTGAGGCAGACACAGCAGCGAGTGTCGCATACGCAGAGAGGAAGGCATAGGCGCTATTGTTGTTCCTGTTGCAGATCGCGGTCTTGCTTTTGTTGCAGTTGCTGCTGCTGCTACTGCAGTCGATGTTGTTTTTGTCCGTGGGCCTTCGATGATGCTGCTGCTAATGCTTTGGCAGCTGCGTCTTATGCTGCAACTAACTATCCTGCTTCTTTTGTTGCTTCTGCTTGTGCTGTTGTCACTGCCGTTCTTGCAGAAGTTTCCAATGCAGCTTCTCGTGATCTTGGAGCTGCCGCTGCGGTTGCCGTAGGTGCTGTCTCTGTTGCTGCTGCAACAATCCTTGCTGCAGCTGCTGTACTTCTCGCTGCGTCGAATTCTCTTTGCTGCTGCCACTGCTGCTCCCGTTGCTGTGCGTGTCTTCACACGGCGGATGCAACTGGGGAGGTCCCTGCTCCCGGCGGTGGGCATTTGCCCTATTTACCCTGTCTGTTTGGGAGGCTGCAGCGCCTCCGCTAAAGCGCAGACAGGCCTAATCGCTGGAAGCAGCTGCACCTTGCTGAAGTCGCGGTGATTGCAGCAAGCAGCCGCTAGCCACAACGGAAGCAGAAGCAGCAGCAACTGCCGCCGCTTTTGCTGCGGCGGCAGCAGCTGTTGCTGCTGCCGCTGCTGCCGCGGTAATTGAGTCAAAAAAGACAAAATAGGCTCGAGCAGCAGCTAAGAAATACGCCGTAGTGGAAGGAGCAGAGCCAAGCAGCCCACAGGTGTACCGGCACTGGCTAATGCGGGCCCCGTTCCCCAGAGGCTTATCGAGTGTGTTCGATTGTATAGGAAGAAAAACAAAACCTTTAACACTAATAAGTTGTAAGCAAATCGCTAGATTCAATAAAAGCAAATAATAGCGGGAAAACGCAGAATGCCCAAAGCCGCGACCGCTGGCGATGAATAGGGCCCTTAGGCATCAGACGTGGGGCCCTGGTGTGTGCTTGTTATCTTCCGCTCGCCATAAGCATTCCGCCATGTTATTTAGCAATTCGACAGGTGAAAAATCATTACTACATCACCAGTGCAGTTTTCGTTTCGATTGGGTTCTACACATATTTCCTGTCAGTCCGTGGTGCTGGAGGGACTCTCACCTTTGTCCCTTTACCACATTTCCACAGGGCACTCTTACAAACCCTGGCTGAGACTTATAAGCCACGTACACTACAGCTTTTCCCTTATATTCTAATCCCTAATATTCAAGTATCATCACGCGAAGATGCCTCGCGAAGGGCTGCTGCTCTAAAGGCCACATCTAAGGCTAAGAGGCTACCCATACTGAACCCACGAGCCCCTAATCTTTGATCCTACGCCGCAGAGGCCTTGCTAAAAACACTTCTCTGGAAAACCATTTCATTTTACTGAGTTATTGAAGGTGGTTGAGATCGCTTTTATCACCTGCTGAAGCAGACTGTTGAGCTTTGCGTGAGCTACGGGCATTGAATGTCCACAATCGGAGCGAAGCGCCTTGCATGAGCAACACTGGCCACTGTAGAAATGAAAAAACCCTCCAATGAAGAGGTCGACTGAATTGCTGCAATTGCTCCGTGGTAGTGCAAAAGTGCTTCCACTACAAGGGGAATTTTAAGCAACAGGAGCGAGGGGAAAGTCAAGGCACTGCATTGAGGCCCTATACGGTTTAATGTACCAACTTTCCATGGAAAATTGTGGGCTAGTTTGGGTCGTACTACAAAAATCTGGCCCATAAGGGACCCGTGGGAAGTCTAGCTTACCTACTGCAGATGCACTCAGCCGTTTTAGTTCGAGCCCAAAATGTTCGCGTGTTCATCCAGAGATATAAACCTTACTATGCAGCCACAACCAACAGATTCCCGAATATTCGCTTGTCTATTTGAGTGTTGGCTCCTTTTTTCACCTTTCAAATCTTGGCCAGAGCTTCTAGCGGAAGTATCGGTGTGAAAAGCGACAAATGAGACAGCTACTGGTGTTTAAAGAAGCTTTCTACAACTAACACAAATTCATCTTTCCACTAGGACAATCGTTAATGAGCCGTTTAAAGAAAATCCGCATCTTTATTCACTCAGTTGATAGTGAATGAATCAACACGTCCAGAGTGCCGATGGCACTGTCAGCAGAAAACAACTACTTGGCAAATTGCTGCAAGATAATCAGCTACACATAAGACCCATAAAATCATGATCCCGTGTTAAATATGCCCTCGGTAAACTAACTGTAAGCTCGACATGGCTTGCCCAATTAAAGTAAGCGTTCTAGTCGTGAGTTGCCGTTCCTTCGGAGAGTAACACCCTGTTCGGCATATTGCGCTTCATGTTTGAAAGGACACGAGAATGACACTCCTGTGTGGCCGTGTGTTCTGCATACAGCGGGTGTCAGTACTACTGCTCGCAGGACGACGTTTTTGCGTTAAGATATATGTTGGCAGTAAGCAAATATGTAGCGAAAGAATGCGACTCAGAGGAGAGCGAGGTGCCCCAAAGGTTATACACACGCACAACACTTGGTATTTATACGCAGAACGCAGTTGTTATGGTACGTTTGTACGTGAAACGCTAGGCTTTAAGCCCAAACCACAGCTCGCCGTCGTAAGCAATGACATTTTGTAAAATCATATTCCGGATACAGGAACATTCAGCGATTAACCGCACCACCTGAAAGAGAGCACAGTTTAAGGACACGATGCATCGTCAACTGAAACCAACTCTTAATTCTAACACAGAAAAGAGCACTGGTCAAATAAAATTCAAAATGCACATGCACGATATCGCTGACCAACAACGCCACATCCTTGAGAGCACCCACCGTGCATACTGAAACACCGCGCAATCCGCGAGATCCCAAGAGTTTGCAATAGGAGGACTTTCTCCACCGTTATATACAAAGCGGAGAGCAGACACCTTCAGCCCAAAACCGTAAACAGTAGGTCCTAAAATGGCGCTCCCAGACGCTAGTACCAGCAAACGAGAAGACTTTGGTTACACTACATTTGAAAGGCAAACAATATTTTGCATGGGCAGAATCAACAAAGCTTGCATTAAGCCGCAAAGCCTCTCACATAGCTACGTCAAAGCCAACAAGTACATAACACCTTTCCATTCGCATTCGCTTCCAAGTGAAAGGCAGCATGCTTACGTTTACATTGAAAAAATTGAAGACAAGATATCTCAAATGTGATTTAATAGCTGCATAGCACCCAAAGAGAAGCACTGAAAATAGACAAGGATAATGTTAGTTTGGTTGTCTACAGCTCGAGCGAAGTTGGATACACGCTCTTCCCTATGTAAAAACACAAAAAATGCACTAGGCGTCTTGCACTGGACTAGATCACGTGTCTACGTGGTATCCACACTGCGAGAGGTTTGCTGGAGCACTTAGAATAAGTGGCGTTTGGCAACAAAAATCGTCCAAAGCGCGCGAGCACACGCGTAGAGGCATGTTTCAAAAAGCATGAGCTCCCTGAAGCGGCACCTTCGTGGGCATATTTAGTAGCTCTATGCACGAACCCTGATTGCATAGACAGTAGACGGCCCGCCAAGCAACAAAGGCACAACTTGAAGCACGCAGAGCATGTACACTAAGCAAAACAAAGATTTAGTACATTAAACACTAGTGCATTTTGGTCACATCAAGATGTTCGCCAAGATCCCCACCAAAAGTTGTCATGCTGAGATAAAAAAGGATTTTGGCATCGAAGCGTGCTAGTACTAAGTGCAAATAGGCATTCAACATATTAAAAAAGCAGGATCTAAGTACAGGAATAGACGAGCCCGTGCATCGTCAAGGCGAGGCATCGTCAAGCTGAGGCATCTTCAAGGCAAGGACTACAGTGCAACTATTTTGAGAGACACCGACTCTCAACGCCTGCTGTTTCACGCACAAGCTGATGTTTGGCTCCCGTAAAAAAAGCAAATGCAACAATCGCTTGGCGCATATCGATGTGTGCTCGTGAAATATGGATAGATTCGCCCAGCAATACACAATGCGTCACAGAGAAGTATAGTTGGACAGTGGACTTGTAAGAATGAGCTAACGATATCCTAAAGCAACTATGCAGATTTACTAAGGTTGTCAGACTCAACGTAAGTGTTGGTAATGTGATGTTGAAGTGTTAAATATTCAGTTTTGAGGGGCATCAGCATTGTCGCGCAACTTGGTTATTGTGGGTACTGAGAGCAAGCATGACAGGAAAATTTCCATAGGAGTTGGCACGCAGAAGGGGAGCGCCCACAAGCCTGTGCACCGTTTAATTGGCTAGGTATTTGTATTCCAAGAAGCAGACACAGGCAGGCCGTGGCTGTCACAGACAGTCGCCCTGTAGTTTACCCAGTCGCATTTATGCGGCGTAGCGACGAAATCCCGCTTCGAGCAGGCCAAAAATGCAAAGCGCCGCACCCAATCTGGCAACAATACGCGTCATCGTTCCATGACGCGCATTATTTAGAAATACAGGACGGGTTCTCTGCATGGAGAGGCGCTCTTCGCAGTATTCTACGAATGGGTGAATTGCCAGCATATACGCAGTCGCCAGCAAAAAGTCACAACAAGCCCGCATGCATATGATGGGTCGAAAAGCAAATATCAGCAAGGTGGACAAACTCGTTAGCGCACAAAAGCGTCAAAACGGGAGTACTATAGGCGATTTTGCAGGAGCGACTCTGAAAAGAGATAACAGAACGGATGCTTGCCTACTTACTGCAGCAAAAGCTCAAGTGCGTGATAATTCAGAAAAAACGGAAGCCGATAGTCAGTTTGCAATTTTCAGCACGGCTGTCCACTCGGCTGGCTTTACCCAGGTCAGCCACGATTTCCAGCGCCAGTACTCGGCTGCACCGACGAATACTGTAACAAACCCAAAATCTTC